TATTATGACCTGATTTCTTCTCAAGGCTCCATCTCCAAATACCATGACGCTGGGGGTCAGGGCACCAGTACATAAATGTTTTGTGTGTGGACTGACACAATTCATTCTACAGCAAACACTAAACTTGATTTGCTTTCAAGAGCCACTTTAGGAACAGCCCAGTTTTAATGAAAATAAGAAGATTCCTACATCTTTGCCAAATGTCAGCTCCAGCTTGCCAGTTATTATAAAAAATACAGTATGGGAGATCTAGCTTTCCTTACTGTACTTAGAGTTAAACATGTTTAAATGCAAATAGCAGGAAGTTAGCATGCGGGTACAGATGAGCTTTAATGTGTGTTTGTGGGCGGCTGTGGGAGTGGGGGCAGCCTGGTGAGACAGTAGGAAAACCAGGTTGCCACAGAGAAGGGGCACCACGGGGCGGGGAGGGGGAAGGGGCAGAAATCCTGTGGCAGCTTCTCTTTGCTTATCTCTGTTCATGCGCACAAATAGTGGGCCAAGATCCTGTTTTTAAAGCAAAAGGGGACTTGTGGCCACACAGTGGGCCTGGCGGGAGAAGGACCACTTCCTGAGGAGTAGAAGAACTTCGGCTCAGATGGGGTGAAGGCCAAGGACGGGCTGTGGATAACTTGCTGGGAAGACTGGGGAGCAGCCATCTCCCTAGGTGCCCTGCCCCACCCTAGAAGAATGGAGGGTCAGGGAGGGCATAGGCCTTTGATGGAAGATAAAGTTTGCTTTTGGACAAATATTTGAAGTATGGCCTGAACCTGACATTGGGTCTGAATGCAGAACCGGAGGGCCGGAGGATGGTCTATGGTTGGAGAGTTGGACAGAAGTCTCATCCGGGGTAGCGGCCAGGGGAGCTGAGTGAGCAGGGGACATTTTGAGAGCTGCGGGGTGGAAGAAGAGGAGCAGAGGGTCCTGGATGGGGCATGAAAGGGTCTAAAAATCACAGTTGCAGCCTCGTTGGCAGTCATTTCAGAAAAGTCCCGTTTTTTCCACTCTGTGTTGCCTTTGGCCTGCTGGAGTCCATCTCCTCATAGATACGCCCAGGAGGGTTCTGGAAGGCTCTTGTTGGAACGTAGAGCTCTCGCAGCTGGGTTGACTCCCTCACTCCAGGCGGACCATAAGGGACCCCTACTCTCCGCAAAGCCCATGGAACCAGGCAGCTGGTGCTGCTCCAACCACAGGCGATGCACAGCCCAGCGATTTGTTCCCCTTGCTGTTTCTGTTTCTGGTTGCGGCCAGGAGTAGCCCGGAGTCAGTTGTTGATGAGGACATCATTCCACCCTGCCTCGTGCCGGCTCCCTCCAGCCTGAGACGTCGATCATCCCCTGGCAATCCAGCCCCGTTGGTTTGGTGTAGACAGGTGACAGCTGAGGCTGGTCCACGCCTGACTCAGCCCGGGGCACCCTGGTCACAGCTCCACAAAACGAGTCGCTCGCTGCCAGCCTGCGCCTGCTCCCTCTGCCCCTTGCAACTTTAAGGCAAATGTCACCCCTGGGATCCTATTCCTGTGGGATTTCAAAAAAAGAAATGCCATCGTGGAGAAGACATTTGTCCTTTCTCCTGTTTAAATTGCTTTCACGGGTTCAGGAGACCTGACCATTGATTTTCTTCTAGAGAGTGCAGCAAGCCCTGTGAAGATGTTGGCTAATTAACTTTTGGAGAAGTGCTGCTGGAATTTATCAAGGTGGTTGAAGTCTTTTCTTCTCTTCCTGTATCTTGAAGAAGGCCTTTTCCTTTTGTTTCTAAATCTCTGCCGACACCCGGTGTGTTTGAAAGTGACTTCCCTGCAGAGGACAGAGGAGGACTGTTTGATGTCACCTTTGTGCAGCTTCAGTCTTTTAAGACAGTTGTTCCTGTCTGCAGAAGGTCTTTTCTACTTACCTAAAAGAAGTATCATTCACACAAAGATTACATTTTAAAACTAGTACCATTGCACGTTAGGAGAGTCTGTGGAGGGTGTTTAAGGTGCAATTAGTTTTTCACCCGGTGCCACTTTTTGGACTTTCTCATTCGGTTTGATGTAGGACACAGCTGTTGGCCAGCCTCACTTTTTGTTTTCAGCAAGTGCATTTTCTTGTTCTTCTCATCTGGCCAGAGCTGTTGGTAGTGAGTTACTAGCACATCAGGGAAAGTCCAGTGTGAAATCCTACTGTAGATTTCTTTGGTTTTAGTTTCTAGAAGTTTATCGGGAAAATGGAAATCCTGTTTTCTCTATAGATGAGTCTTAGTGGGAAGTTTTCCTTTTCTTTTTCTTTCTTCTTCTTTTAATTTTTTAAGGGGAAGAATCTAATTTTATGGGTTCTTTTTTTTTCAAAAGCAGAATTTCTAGAGTTGAAATAACTAACATCTCTTTGGGTGGCCTGTGAAGGTATCTTGGGAAGCTAATGTAGGAGGATCACAATTTTGAGGCCAACCTCAGCGACTTAGCTGTTCTTAAAAAGGGCTTGGGGTGTGGCTTAGTGGTAGAGCACTTGCCTAATACACACACGAGGGATTGGCTCAGCCCCTAGCCACCTCCTGCCCCTGCCAAGAACTGCCTGTCATTTGTTGTCAGTTTTCATCCATGTGAAGCGGCTGGTGTGGCTGGTTGCCATGTCATGGAGAGAAATCCGTGTCGTCTTGCCTGGGCTCAGCTGCATGTAAAAGTCCTGTCCCACTGAGCTACATTGCCCCAGGATGCATTTAAACTGTTGTAACACAGACCAACACTTCGTTGAAGAGTCCTTCATTTTTGTTCAATCTCATGATCCTTGTTATCAACTTTGCTTACATCAGCTTATATGTCATTTCATTTTATAGCACTTTAATAGGCTTTCATCCTCCCTCCCCAATTTATTTCCAGCTGTGCAACCGTTATAATTTGATGATGGTTTGGTTTTGTAACTGCCAGGACCCTTTTTGTGCATGCTACTACGCCTTCCATGTGAGTACGAGGCTCTTCAGAGATTAAAAAAAAAAGAAGGAAAGTTGTTTTTCCCCTACTTGTTTAATTTCTAAATGATGCCTGGGAAGTTCTATAGTTGTATAATCTCATTATGAGATATTTATTTAAAATTCTTGGGTAGGATTGGACCCACCGACATTTTTAAGGGAGTATATGAGAGTCTGTTTAAAAGTTTGCTTTCTAACAAATGGAGGCAGGCGTGCGCAGGAATTGCAAGCCCTGTGTTTTGCTGGTGGGAATGAAAAATGGTGTGGCCACTGGGAAACACAGTATAGTAACTGCTCAAAAAATTAAAAATAGATCTACCACATCATCCAGCAATTCCACTCCTGGGTATACAGCTAAAAGAATGGAAGCAGGGTCTTGACAAAATATAGGTATACTGATGTTCATAACATTACTGCCAATCGCTAAAGCATGGAACAACCTTGCTGCCCATGGATTAGTAAATGATTAAGTAACATGTGGCATATGTATATGATAGAATATTGTCCGGTCTTAAAAAGGAAGACAGTTCTCACACGTGCTATAATGTGGATAGACCTTGAAAATATGCTAAATGAAGCATGTCAGTCTCCAAAAGACAAATACTGTATGATCCCACTTCTCTGAGTTACTTAGAGTAGTCAAAATGACAGAGACAGGAAATAGAATGGTGGTTGCCGGTGCTGGGAGAAACGGGGAGAGGGAGTCACTGGTTAATGGGTGTAGAGGTTCCATTTTTGCAAAATGAAGCGTTGTGGGTGTGGGCGGTAGTGATGATTGTGTAACAACGTGAATATACTTGCTACCCCTGGACTCTCCATTTAAGATGGTTAAAATAGTAGATTGTGTTATGTGTACTGTACCCCGATTTAAAAAATTGAAAACATCCTTTCAACATTTCTTTCTTGATTTCGCTAAATATTTTGGTTAGGAAATATATAATTTTTAATTTAGAGGCTTTCCCGCCCAGATTTTGGCTTCTTCAAATCTACATAGAATCAAACCAAACAGAGGGACGTTTACATTGTTGCTTCAAAAGGAGCAACTTGATTTTCTCTTTTGCCTCGGCAGCCCCTGTGTTGCTTCTCTTTCCTGCCTCCATTTATACTCCGGGGTCAAGTTTACCTGGCAGAGGTTATATGATTTCATTTGTATGTCCTTGGGCCTTTACTGGCTTCTACCATGTGTCTATGTTTTGTTTGTTAGGTATTTATCTCAGGATTGTGTTTGTGTTTTATACTTGATCAGTTATAGCAGTGTACTATTTTTGGTTTTTGAAAAGACACTATCTTTAAGTTAGTAGCATCACTATGTGTCCAAGGATACCAAAGATTCAGGCACATAAAGTTACCGTGCTTCACCGGATCATCACTCCCGCAGACCAGAAAGGTCTTTAACTCGGGAGTTGAGTTATTTTGAGTTCCAGTGTTATTTTAAATGCTTTCTTTGCTTGTTTTCCATTGGAGAAAGTTTCTTTATGTGCATTTGAAAGGTGGGTGCTTGTCCCTCTTTACCTCTGCACTGCAATAAATAGCTCCACCTTTAGAGGGTGTGGCCTGTGTCCTTCTAGTCTTTGTTATATGGAGTGTTTTCCCTCCATTCCTACGGGAACTTGGGTGTCCTTTCAGGCGGCTTGGGTTCATCCGGGGTCCCTTTGCTGGTGACCACTGAGAGCACAGTGCGGCTAAAGAGGCTCTAGGTGTGTGATGCCCTGTAGACCCTATACAGAAAATAGTTCCAGACCTACGCCCAGCATGACGCTGGAGCTCATGCTTCCCAGAATAGGAACTAGCCACATCCACGGCTGGTTAGTTCTGGGGCCCATTGCTCTGGGTTCAAGGGGTTTCTCATTTCCTGGTGGGTTTGGGATGGGAGAGAGTCCGGTTCAGACCCGGCACTTAGTTGCATTCTGACCCTTGATAAGGTTCATTGCTTTTGTTGCCAAAACTGCAAATTCTCCCCAGGGAGAGGAGTAGGGGACACCAGTATAATTTGGGGTGAGTTTTTTGTGTTTTCCTGGCCTCACACCTCTCTCTCTCTCTCTCCCTGTGTCTCCCGGCAGGCTTGGAGACCAGTTTTACAAGGAAGCCATTGAACATTGCCGGAGTTACAACTCAAGGCTGTGCGCAGAACGCAGCGTGCGGCTCCCCTTCCTGGACTCACAGACTGGGGTGGCCCAGAATAACTGCTACATCTGGATGGAGAAGAGGCATCGGGGCCCAGGTGAGCTGTTCCACCCCTGGACATGCATGTGTGGGGTCCCAGCATGGAGGGAAGACCCGAGCTTCTGGGAGGCCGTGCACCGGTGGGGTGGGCTGAGGCAAGCTGCACATGGGTCAAGAAACTCAGCTGCCCTCAGGGTACTCAGTGTCCCAAGGAACTTACAAGGATGGTGCCGGCCACTGAAGCTGTTAGGCAGGAAGTGAAAGAACCCGGATGTTCAGCTCAGAGGGAGCAAGATGAGTATCTGAGAGCAGTATGCATCTTTTACCCTTGGACACTGGTTACAGCTGGAAATTTGTGGTTGGATGTGAGTGGGAGGCTTAGCCTTGTCACTAAAACTCTTTCCCTCAGGTCCCTCATCTGGATAACAGTAGTATTCACTGCATAGGATTTTGTCAGGATTAAGTGAGAATAATTCATTTAAAACTCATAAGTTTAGCAAATAGTATGTTCTCCGAAAATGTTGGATATTATTATTGGTGTGACTACTATTATTTTTCCTATGAAACTCGTCTTCCAGTCTCCAGACCCATTAATGGAGATTAGAAAGGCAACTATAAGAATACAGCTTTCTGGCTTTCTATGGGAGTATGAAAAACCTACAGCTTTTTCTTTGGAAAATTTCACACTATATAAAAAGAGAGAGAATAGTAAAATGAATCTCCATGGATTCCAGCGTCGACAATGATCACACAGCCAATTTCATTTCATTCACACTCACCTGCTGCTTTCCTCTCTAAATCCGGATTATTTTGAAACAAATCCAGGACAATATATTATTTTACCTATAAATGTTTGGTTGTGTAGCTCTAAATGGTAAGGACTTCAAAAAACCAAGCCAACTCGTGATCACTATCAAATCTCACTTGGACCTTAATATCATCAAGTATGTGGTCAACATTCACTTTCTCTCCTCTAGTTTAAAGCAGGATCCAAGTGGGATCCTGCATGGCAGCTGGTTGACAAGCCCCTTCATTCTCCTAAATCCTTAAGTTCTTCTTAATTCTATTGTTTCTGTCTCCTTTCTCTTTGCGTGGTATTTGTTGAATAAACTGGGTTGTGTGCACAGTTGGGTTTCCCAGAACCTGGGTTCTCCGGCTGCATCCCTACGCTGCTATTCCTGGGGACTGATGACTAGGTTCAGAGACTTACTCAGTATTTTGGCAAGAGCAGTCCCTGGGTGGTAAAGAGTACTTTCCTCGGGAGGCTCACACGGTCTGGTTGTCTCTGTTTTACTGATGTTGGCAGCCTTGACGATAGTAATTGAGATCCCTTATTCCATGAAGCGTTGCCAAAAGGTGACAATTTGAGGCCATCCCTATTTATCTATTAGTGCTATAACTTTTCTAAAAAATATCTCTTCATTAAAATTTTGGTTATTATGAGGTAGAGTTGACATAAGAAAGGCAGGATAAATGATTTTTCCCCTTTGCTTACCAGTTTTCAAAAAATAAAATGAGTTGATTCTCTTCTGTTCTCCAGAGGTGATCAATGAAGTTATTTTGAGTACTAGCATGAAGTTACAGATTTAACATATTTGATGTATTTTAATTCATTGATGTGGTTATTCTGAGTGTCGCTTACGTTTTTCCATCTTTGGCCAGTAGGGGTATCAGTTAGTTCTGGTGTTTTGAAAGAGCCCAGAGATTCTGATAGCCTCTTTGCTATCCTAATATCAGGATGGAATGTATAAGGCTCACCTGGTATTCTTCCTTCCCCAGGAAGTATCTATACTTTAAGAGATATTGGTCTTGTATTCTCTGTGTCTAGTTTGGGTATCAGAGTGATCTTGGCTTTATATAATGAGTTGGGAAGTATTTTTTCCTTTTCTGTTTTTTGGAAGAGTTTATATAAAATTGGTATAATTATTTCCATAAATGTTTTGTTGTGTTTACCAGTGAATCCATCTGGACCTGGTAATTTCTTTGTGGAAGTGTCTTATATTATAAATTTAAGTTCTTGAATTGACATAGGGCTATCCAGGTTATCTATATCATCTTGAGTAAGCTTGCTAGTTTGTGACTTACAAAGACTTTGCCTATTTCAACAAAGTTGTTTGTAAATTGCTCAATTATCCTTTTAATATATGTTGAATCTACAGTGGTATATCCTTTCATTCTTTATATTGGTAATTTGAATTTTATTTTTTATTTGATCATCCTGACTAGGGTTATCAATTTTAATAATCTCAAAAAGGTAGCTTTTGGTAGAATTGATGTTCTTAATTACCTTTTCTACTATTTTATAGGTTTTTACTTTGATCTTTATTTTTCCTTTATTCAACTTGCATTTTATTTAATTTGATCTTTTTTTTTTTAAGGTGGAAACTCAGTTCAAGATTTGAGACCTTTTTTCTTTCCTGCTTTGGGCATTTTCTAATATAAAAATCTCCCCTAAATACTACTTTTACCTCATTTCATAAATTTTGACATTGTGTATTCCTCTTTATTCAGTGCAAAATAGTTCCTTTTTTGGTTTTGTTTTTTACTCAAAGATTGTTTAAAAGTATATTACTTATTCTTCAAACATTTGGGGCATTTTCCAAAGATGTGTCCATTTATTATTTCTAATTCAATTTTCTATAGCCAGAGAATACTTTGACATAAATTTTAAACAATTGTTTGAGCACATATTTTAAAATATGTACTGTCTTGGAAAATGTTTTCTTTACACTGGAAAAAGAGTAGGTATTTTGTTGTTGGTTAGAGTATTCTATAAATATCAATGAGGTCAAGTTGGTTGATTGTGTTACTCAAATCTTTTAGTATATTCTTATAGTTTTTCCTACACATATATTTGTTTTATGAGTTATTGAGAGGGAATATTGTCTATAATTATGAATTTACTTGTTTTTCTCTCTCTCTCTCTCTCTCTCTTTTTTTTTTTTTTTGGTATTTTTGAGACAGGGTCTCTCTGTGCAGTTTGGGCTGGCCTTGAGCTCACTTTTAGCACAGGCTGGTCTCGAACTTGCAACAATCCTCCCGCCTCAGCCTCCCGAGTGCTGGGATTACAGGTGTGCACCACCACGCCTGGCTCTTGTTTCTCTTTCTAGTTCTATTAATTTTTGTTTCATATATTTTGAAGCTCTTTTATTAGGTGCATATAATTTAGGATTGGTATGTCTTCTTGATAAAAATTAATACCTTTATCATTGTGAAATAACCCTTTCATCTTTACTAATATTATTTGCTTTGAAATTTACTTATGTGCTATGGAGATAACCACTTTTTTCTCTTTTGATTAGTGTTAATATTCTCTATATTTCCTCTTTTTTACTTTTAGCTTATCTGTATCTTCAAGTTAAAAGAAACTTTTCCCTCTTTTCAGCACATAAGTATGTCTTGCTTTTTAAAGTAATCTGACAAACTTTTCAAATTGAGTAATTCAATCACTTGTATTTAATGTATTATTTTATACTTAGGTTTAAAAGCTCATCATTTTTGTTTCTTTTCTATTTATTCAGTTGGGTTTTTTTTCCTTTTCTGTCTTTTTCTGCTGCCTAGGTAGTAGAAGTTTTTAAAAAATATTTATTCAAATCATTTGCCCAGTTAAGAAATAATTTCATTTTTACTGTTGTTTGAATTGTTGAAGTTTTTTCATTCCATTTTATCTTATTTTTGTTAGCTTATTAACTGTAACAATTGTTTATTATTTTAATTGACTTCATATTTATAGAATAAGTTTTAACTAACTTAGCCTTTGAGTAACATTGTTCTGTTTCACGAATGATGTAAGAACTCTACACTAGTTTTGTGATAAACAGAATAATGTCTACCCCCCCTCCAGATATCCAAATCTGAATCCATGGAATCCGAATCTATGTATCTTACATGGTGAAAGGGACTTTGAAGATGTGATTAAGAACCTTGAGACAGTGAGATTATACTGAATTGTGTAGGTGGGCCCAATAAAATCACAAGCATTTTTCACAGAGGAAAACAGGAAGATCAGAGCCAGAGCAGGAGATATAAAATGGAAGCAGAGGTCATAGTGATGTACTGGAGGTAAGGGCCATGGATTAGCCTGGTTTCTATTGCTATAACAAAATATCCAACTCTGGGTACTTTACAAAGAAAAGAGGTTTATTTAGCTCACAGTTCCGAAGAGTCAAGGGCATAGTGCCGTCATCTGCTCAGCTCTGGTGAGGTCCTTCTGGCTGTATCCCAACAGGGCAGATGGCTTCATGCTGGGCGAATATGGACAGGGAGCAGGTACATGATGAATCAGGAAGCAAGAGGGACTCAGGGGCCAGTCTCGCTCTTTTTATAACAATTTGCTCCTTCTGGAACTAACTGGGGTCCCGTGAGAACTGTGTTAATCCCTTTTGAGAGTTCCCTCAATAACCTAATGACTTTCCACTCACCTAACCTAACCTTCCTAATCTCTTGAAGACTACCACCTCTCGTCATAGCTACACTAAGTCTTCTAGCGCAAGACACTTTGGAGGATGCCTTTAAACCTTTTCCAGATTGTAGCAGTCCATGAGCCAAAGGTTGCAGATGACTGATTCTTTCCCTCCCTCTCTCCCTTCCTTTTTTTTGTGCCTTTACCAGCTTCTGAATACTCTACTGTATATACACACTCTACTATGTTTATTTAGCTCGGTTCCTATAGATGGACATTTGGATCACTTCCAGTCTTTTAATAGCATAAACTCTGCTACAATGAATACAATGAATATCTTTATATTTTTGCATGTGACTCTTTGGTAGAGATTTTCTAGAGATGGAATTGTTAGGTCAAAGATAAAAAAATATATATGTAGTTTTGCTAGGTATGCCAAATTCTTCTCCATAGTTTTCCCACCAGCAGTAGATGAGAGTAGTAGGCATACTTTTAATAACAGAATATTTCAACAGCGCAGTAGACTGCTTCACGTCAGGGTGAGGATTAGACTTATTGAAACTGAGGCCAGGGTGGGGGATACTTGTCAGGAATTTTGTAGAGGTGATCTTTGTATCAGGTAGAGATCAGATCTAATAACCCTTAAACTCATATTT